AACCCCAGACTCCCAAATCCTGCGCACGCATTGAGAAATATCTCCTCCTCTCCTTTTAATATTGGGGTATCTGAAGCACCTGAATATGGGGCCTAGAACAGAAAATGCCCCCAGTCCAGAGTTGTTTCAGACTACACGAAGGTCAGAGGGTAGGTGCTGCGGGTCCCAGCGGTGGGAACTAGAGGTGGGAAAAGAAGTCATCTGCCTAATCAGGGTTATGATTTAAAGTTGTTCAGAATCCTCCATCCACCCCAGTCCATCCTACCCCTGTGTGGAGAATAAAAGGCTGAGTCAGTGGGTGGGCAGGACAGAAGTGAGTCAGAACCTGAAAGACAGGGGGCAGCAGAAAGATGGGGAGGGCAAGAAATGCAAACATCCCCCACCCCAGGGCATCTGAGGTCCTGGTTTCTTCCAAGGGAAGGGATGGGAAATTAACTTGAAGTTCCTTTCAGTGGCAAATGCATACAACCAGGCTGCTAGGGGTCCTACTAAAAGTGGTGGTCCAAGTGGATCAAAGGAGACAGTAGGAGCATAGTTATAGTAGGGTGTTAAATGAAGGAAAGGGAGGGCGGGGGTGGGGGGAGCAAGGGCTGAGGAGTATGGAGGAAGGATTATCAGACTCGGGACTGCGGGTGAAGTGGCTCCAGTTGTGAGTAGTAGGCAGATGAGGGCACTCTCTAGGTTTGAGGGTTGGACACCTAAGCAGGGCTTGCTTTGGGCAAGGAGAGAGAGAGATAATCCCTTCTGGGGTCATAGCATCAAATTTTAGAGATAGGCGATTCCAAGCAGTTCATGCTCCCCTTCCTGCCTTTCCCTTGCCCTGTTCCTCTGACTTACTTCCTCATCTCATTCCATCCTGAACTCACCCCAGGCTCCCCAGACACCATATGGGAAACCCCCAGAACCATGAGTGGCCTTCAGGTTGGAAGCCCCCCATTCCTGCACCTTTGCAACCTGCCCTCTGCCCTTCTTGGTTAAAGATGGAATCACATATGCTCCTGAAACCACTGGGGTTGAGCTGGGCTGAGCTACAGGTGACCAGGAGGGAGAGGCCCCTACTGCCCTAAAAGTAACCACATCTCAGGCCTGGGAGAGGTGGGTTGAGTCACAGCAGGGTCACAGTACGGACACGCATTCCACTTGCTAGCTGCTGACCCCTCCCACATCCGTTGTTCTTCTGCCCCATCTCCCTGGCTCGGTGCACCCCCTCCTGGCCACTGGTGGAACAGCCAGATCTTTCACCCCAAGCCCAAGGCCTCCCAATGTACAGGAGTCCCGGCTTATGCACCGAAGAATATGTTCCAAGACCCCCGGTGGGTGACTGAGCTGAAGATAGTACCAAGCCCTAATCAACTTCTTCAACTCTGCTGGAAATGTGACAACAGCTTCTACATCAGCAGACGCAGCCTCTCCAATAATTTGTATATTTTTTAATTCAAACCTATTCCTGAATCTGTGTAACCATACCTTACTTGCAGTAAATGTGTTGGTGTCACTCATTTGAGGGATCCCTTGCTCAAGTCTCTGTATAGGTTCAGTGTTTTTTGTTGCAACACATTGCCATCAGTCAAAACTTTATTTTTTTTTAGAGAGAGGGGAAGGGAGGGAGAACGAGAGGGAGGGGAACATCAATGTGAGAGAGAAACATCAATTAGTTGTCTCTCTTATGCCCCGCGACCAGGGACCAAATCCAAAACCTAGCCATGTGCCCTGGCTGGGAATCGAACAGGTGACCTTTTGCTTTGCAGGATGACATCCACCAGGGCTTGTCTTCTCCATCTTAACTAAGCACTTACCACATACAGCGGCCATACCTTTTCCACTTTGAGGTGCGACAGCAAAACTAGCAAGAATTTCTTTTTCCTTCGTCACAACTTCATGTAAAGAAGATTTGTTTTATTGTAGATTTTAGCAACCTCAGCATGCCATTTTTATTCCTTTAGTATTAAGTTGAGATCTTTCACCTTCTCACTTAAAGGCAGCACTTTTTGGCTCCTTTGGCATATCTGAATCGCTAGCATCACTACTCTTGCACTTTGGGGCCCCTAATAAGTAAGATAGGGTTACTTGAGCACAAGCACTACGATACCAGGACTGTTAATCTGATAACAGAGACAGCTAATAAATGACTATCAAATGGGGAGCGCATACAGCGTGGAGACGCTGGACAAAGGGATGGTTCACTTCCTAGGCAGGAAAGAACAAGAGGGCAAGAGATTTCATCACACTAGCTACAATTTAAAACTCATGAACTGTTTATTTCTGGAATTTTCTATTTAATGTTTTCAGATTACAATTGACTGAAGGTAACTGAAACCCCAGAAAGTGAAACCACAGCTAAGGAGCTACTATTATATTTGTATTTGTTCAACAGTTTTTGCTTTCCAAAGTGTTTCTCCTTTACAAGCCTTACAACTAGTCTGGGGACGTTGTCAGGAAAGGTAATAATACCATCTGCCAGAGAAAGAAGCCGAGGCCAGGAGAATAAGGGTGGAGCTAGATTCTAACCCCCTTGCTTCTACTGCTCCAAAAGGCCCTCTGTTTCTCTCACTTCAGTGGGTAGAGGTGAGAAAGGCTCTTTTCCACTTGGCTCTGGTCTTTGACATCTGTCTGATTTCTGGCCTCTTCTTCCCCGTCCTTTGTGGCTGTAGGGGAGAATCCTAAGGAGAGTAAACCCCAAGTGGGGACCACTCGCCAACAGGACACGAACCACAGAGACCAACAAAGGAACCCAGGGACCTCTACCACCCCTGCCAGGCTCAGCGCTGGGGGTGTCCAAGACACTGAGATGGTGCGTTTGGGGCTGGCAGGGAGGAGGAGGGGTGAGGAGCCCTGGGCTCAGAGAAGTCTCCCATGTTAGCCCTGGGCACCTGCCTGGCTGGTGGGGCCAGGGGACTGTGCAGTGGAGCTCAGCAGGAGTGGTTCTGAGTTGCTTGCTCTTCCTTCCCCCAGGGCCCGTGCCGCAGACATCTGGACTCAGTGCTACAGCAGCTCCAGACCGAGGTCTTCCGAGGATCCCACACCCTCTACGTGCCTAATTGTGACCATCGGGGCTTCTATCGGAAGCGGCAGGTGAGGCCACTCCTCTCCTCCCCTTGGTCCATCAGTGCAAGGCTCCTACCGGGGATGGGGTAGGGCTTAAACAGTTGCATAAATAAGACACTGTCCCTGCTTTTCAGTATCTCCCAACTTCCGGGCCCCTATAAACAAAATAACGAGCCACACACTGTAAGAGAGGAGTCAGACTGCCTAAGCCACGCCTAACTCAGAGGAACACATATGTGAGGCACATCAAAATCACCTAGAGGGCTGTGAACACACAGGCAGTCTTGCTCCTCCTGCAAAGCCTGAAACATTTGCATTTCTAACGCTGTCCCTGGCAATGATGATGTTGCTGTTGGTTCTGGAACCATACTTTGAGAACTACTGTTCTGACATAGAAGAACCAGCACAATTTTGTGGTGGAGAAGAGGAGAAGCAAGGGAAGGAAACCCAGCAGGCCTCATGGTCCTGAGAAGTCTTAGATGTTTCTGTGTGCTCAGACTCAGGAGGCCACAGCCCATCCCCAACCCACACGACCCCTCCCGTCTCTCCTGTCCGAGCTTTGGCCGCACCTCTAATCTGCATGCCTCTCTCCGCAGTGCCGCTCCTCCCAGGGGCAGCGCCGAGGTCCCTGCTGGTGTGTGGATCGGATGGGCCAGCTCCTGCCTGCGTCCTCGGACAGCGATGGAGGCTCCCCCTGCTCTGCTGGGAGCAGTGGCTAAGGCTGGGTGGGGGCTGGCAGGGCCACTGTCAGGAGCATGAGGCTGTCACCTTGGGTCATTTGTTGAGTAATGAGCTACTCAGGGGCCATGAGTCACATACTCCACCTCCAGGCTCTGCCCCATTGTCCCCCTCACCCCTGGGACCTCACACATGGAAAGATTGTTGGTATTGGTTTGGGGTATTAATAAAGCTGTGTTGGAGGTCTCTGGTCTATGTCTCTGTGTCCACCTCTCACATTTCTGGAGCCCCTGGTCCTTCTCTCTACCCCCTTTAAAGCCAACCCCCACCCCATAATAGTTCTCTTTTCCTGTGGACTACTTTTGGTCTTTCTGGCTGCCCTTGGAATAAAGGAGACAGCCGCTGGCAGAGGCTTCAAGCCCTGAAGCCTCACCCAACTACCCACCAGGGAGTTGGGGGGTGGAGCAGATAGAGGTGGGGAGAAAGTGAGCCTATAACCTTAGACAGAGGTTGTGATCTTTTTTCTAACACTGAACTTTGGACACAGGGAAGAGAAAGAATTAATAGTTAATCCCCAGCAGGAATTTAACAAAGAGGAACTCTCGAAGCACTTACCCTTCTGTTACATCCTACTAAAAAGGGAAGGATATTATCATCTGTTGAGTTCCCCTCAAGGGCTGAGCCTTGGACCATGTGCTTTTATCTGGACTACCTCATTTTGTGCTTACAGTAACCTTGTCAGGGAGGGACTTTTGCTCCTGTTTCTCAGAGAAGGAAACTGTGGCTTAAAGTATTTATGTCACTTGCCTGAAATTACACAGCCAGGAAATGATAAAGGGAGGATTTAAATCTAGTTCTTCCGTATATGACCATGCCTGGTGTTCCTTAGGTGCTGAATATGTGTTTATTTTGCCTACACGCTAACCCAAGCAGATGCAAGGAAGAGCTGACATTCAGGGACCCTTGCACCCAGCACTTCCTTGAGGCACCACAGCATCAAAATTGTCAAAGGTGTCAACCCCATCAGAGTATTTATCACATGCATACAGTCCTTTCAAGTTAACACACATATACCTCATGATCTTAAGGGAGCTAAGTGTACTGATGTCTAAAGAGGTTTCTGACTCCACCTAGACCTTCAGCCTGCTGGGAAGGTGAGCCAGGCTAGGCGATAAACCTTAGAGAGGCAAAGTCCCCCTTCCAACCGCATGCGTAGTCACCGTTCCCGGAAGGAGAGCACACTTGCTCAGAACTAGGCATCTGGGTGGTAGTTGGTCTGTTGGGGGCTGAGTCCAGTCCATCCCTGCAACAGTCTACAGAGCCTGTAGCTGAGAAGCACTGCCCTCCAGATCAGGTCACCTGTCGTGTTCCTGGACGCCCCCTCATGAAAGGACTTTAGCCTTTGGAGCTGTCACTTGCTCTGTGTCATGGGAGCTCAGCAGGTTGGCAGGCCGTGAAAGAAAGGAGGAAACACCGCAGAGGCCACCTGCTGCCCAGTCAAGATTCATCATGGAGCCAAGGGCAGCCCAGTTGCGGAAGAGAGCAGGGTCGAGAAGAGGGCAGGAGGACCCACCCTCCAGAGAAGGTGAGCCACCCTCTGGGAGTGCAGAAAGCTCAGATGAGTATAACTTGTTGAGAGGGGGCTCCGCTGTCTACCTGTAACCCTTTCTGCTGTCCTGGGAGGCAAGAGAAGGCAGACTCTGGCCTCTGCCCTTAAACACCCAGCTGGGAGACGGAGGAGAAAAGGGACATTCAAAGCCCTGGCTTTTCCTTGTCTTTCTGACTCTCTAACCGCAGGGGGTGAATGAGAGGCTCCCTGAGTACCCTGTTTCCTGTAATGTCATCAGGCTCCCTGCTTACCAATGTCCTTCTCACCCTCTGACAAAATAACTTCCTCTTCTGACTAGATATCTTCTGATTGGGGGGCTGGGAGGCTGCTGAGCACACAGAAAGTGTTTCCTGGCAGAGGATGCCTCTGGGCTTGCACAAAGCAGCAGAACGCTAACTCCTCCCCCTTGGGTGTGCCCTTTGACCCCTCCTCCTAGGAAACACGGAGGTGCTTGGAGGCCTTGACTTGGTGCAATGGACCCAACATATGGAGGTGAGGGACCTCAAAGGTCAGAGGTCAAGATGGACAGGCCCTAGAGTGGAGGGAGGTAGGGGTGAGGACCAGTTTGGTGATAAAGACAATTTGTTCTTGGGTTCAAACCCCTCAGTTCAAATTAGAGCTAAGGGTTAAGATGAAGGGATTTGAAACACAGGGCATGGGCTAAAAGTTAGCCAGTGAGTAGCCTTATGTTAGTGAGGCTAGAGGTCAGGAGATGGAAGGCTGGAGTCAGGGAGAGGACAGTCAAGTCAGAGATGACAAGGTGGTTGGGACCAGAAATGTCATTCCTGCTGTTTCTTCTTGATCATCACTGCTGCCCTGGGAAGCCAGAGGGAGACAGATTATTGGGGAATCTGTGGGCAGGAACTATGCTTTCTATCCCTTGCACTTAGTGCACATGGAGAGGAGCTCAGTAAATGTTGGGTGAAAGAGGATGGCAGACTGGATAGACGGACAAGGGGCCCTGCTTGTCCTACAGGTTGTAAAGATGCAACTGCTGGAGCAAGCACAGAGACAGCTGCTGGAGCTGCTGGATCAGGCCATATCAGAGGCCGTACAATCCTATCCATCACAAGGCAGACCTCTGCCTTCTGTTCCTCCAGATTCTTTGAGCACGTAAGAGCCTGAGGAGCCAGGGGTGGAGGAATGGCTGGAGCAGACTCCTCCATCCTAAGATGATGAGCAATAAGCACCATCTCATGTGCCTTCTATTGCCTCTGTCTTCCTGGCACAGACTTCCACCTCTAGCCTTGTTCTGCCCTAGCCCTGACCTTCTTCCTGGTCCTGCCCTCTGGCCCTAGCCTTGACCTTTTGTTACTATTGCCCTTGGCTCCCAAGTATTGATCTTCTGCAAGGCCCTGCCTTCAGCCCACCACCTTCTTCTTTTGGGTCCTGACCCAGAACTGTCTCAATTCAGGACCCGGGAGCCATCCCTGAGAAAACGGAAAGTTTTTATCATCCGCAAGTCCCTGCTTGAGTAAGTCAGGGGTGGGAGGAAAAGAAAGGGCTTTGGTTGGGGGTCCAGGATACCTCAGTTCTCATCCTCAGGCTGTAGGTGGTTTGGGAGAGGACTTGGAAAGGATTTTTAAGGTTCAGTTTCCCCGTTTGCCCGGGGTGTGACTGTGAAAGAAAGGCCACCAGGATAAGCAGTGTCTGGATTGGAAAGGATTTTGGATCATGGTCTCAGTCACATCCCAGCCCTTAAAAATCCAATCACTAGGCCCCATCCCCACATGTGTACAGTGCCAGAGCTAGTCCGCATGACCTTGAGGACGCTTCCACACTGACATTCAGGACCCTCTCTCTCCAGTGAGCTGATGCAGGTGCAGCATTTCCGGACCATCTACCACATGTTCATCGCGGGCCTGTGTGTCTTCATTATCAGCACGCTGGCCATTGACTTCATTGATGAGGGCAGGTAGGCCCCTCTCCTGCCCAGGATAGGCACGCAGATCAGATCAGAGCCCCGGGGTCCTCAGGGATCCACCTACCATTGATTATTGCGCACATATCAGTGTTGCTTTCCAACAACATTCCCACCTAAAACATACTCGTAGCTTCTTCCTTCCACAGCCTTGGATGGCCCTTAGTCTGTCTTCCCAGGGTCAGCCCCTCTGGGGATAGCCACTCAAATAATTCTCAGTAGGAAACTTGTCTTGAGGTAGATAGATACACATGTGTGTGTACATATACACACTTCCCATCCCACTCTTTTTCCAAGTCAATGTTGTTCAATTCAAGTAACCTCCTTTGAGCAGCATCCAGAGACCAGCCCTGGGGACCAGAGAGAGGAGGGGCAGACCTCATCCCTATCTATGAGGCAATTTTGAGAGGAAGACAGACACGCACACACAAGTGCCTTGGTGGGTTTTTTCCCCCAGAGAGTACCTCTCCCCCTCTGAGGGATGAGCTTTACACCCCTTCAGAAGGCTTTACACCCCTGGGGTCTGTATTTGCAGGCCAACCCTTGCTAAGTAGGGAGCTTAGGAAGCAGTAAAAGGAAGAGGACCAAGGGTCTGAAAATTCAGCAACAGCACTTCCTTTTGGTAAAATTGCTGCTAATTATATGAGTATTATAAGGATCAAATCTCAGTAAAAAGTTCAAATACGCAGTTCAAAAGTTCAAAGTCAGATAGTCCTTCTTGACCAAGCCCTCAATCCCAGACCACTCTCCAAAAGTAACATTTTCAACCATTTTTGAGTTTCTGTCCAAAGCAGTTTCCACGCATTCCATCCATATTTATATAAAAACCAAAAAGATGTATTTTGTGGTCATTTATATAAATAAGACACTTACAGTACCTATTGTTTTGCTTTCACTCCCTAACAACCTAGTTTAAAGATCTTTCCATGTCAATCCATTGTTTTTAATGACTGCAGTGTCTGAAGATGCCTGATTTTGTTCATTTAGTCCTTTCCTAGTGGCCATGTGGGTTGTTCCCAACTTTTCACGATTAAAACTGTTTAACCTTTTTTTAAAAAAATCCTCACCCGAGGATATGTTTATTGATTTTAGAGAGAGTGTAAGGGAGAGAGGGAGAAACATCAATCCATTGCCTCCTGTACACGCTCCGACCTGGGATTGAACCCACAACCTAGGTATGGGCCCTGACCAGGGATCAAACCCACAACTTTTTTCTTTTACTGTGTAGGATTTCACTCCAACTAACTCAACCCCCAAGCCGGAGCAAAACTGTGTACTCTCTATCTAAGCAAATGAAACACTCAGCAACCTGCTGGCACTCCAAAAGAACAGCACTAACCAAAATCAAAGTTAAACACTAAATACCTTCTATCCTAACACCTGTAGCATGCAAAGTACAGAGCCCTTCTGCAGCACCATAACATTCACAGAGGGCTCTAACAGCAATTTCGAAGCAAACCCATTTCCCAATAGAGTCTCCTCAGGCAACACCCTGCACTAGAAGTCTAACCAACAGAGGGGAACACTTTCAGAGATGAGGAGCTCACAAGCTTCGCAAGATATCTCAGTTTATCTTCCAGGAGCTCTGGCTGCAGATGAAGAGGAAAAGGGTGGGCTTCACACTTAATCTACTTTGTGTCTCATTTCCCATTCCAAGGCTCCTGTTGGAGTTTGATCTATTGATCTTCAGCTTCGGACAGCTGCCCTTGGCTCTTATGGCATGGGTCCCCATGTTCCTGTCCACTCTGCTGGGGCCCTACCAGTCCCTCCGGCTGTGGGCAAGGCCCCAGGCCGCAGGGGCCTGGACGCTAGGGGCAGGCCTGGGCTGCGTGCTGCTGGCCGCTCACACAGCAGTGCTTGGCCTACTCCCGGTCCACGTGGCTGCCAAGTATCAGCTCCCTCCAGCCTCCAGCTGTATCCTCGTCTTTGAGCAGGTGATGGGTGGGGCCCGCCTTGGCGCGGGTCTGGTGAGGGAGGGCACTTGCAACAGAATTGGCGGGGTGGAGCTAGTTACTAGGGGCGGAGTTGGTTGCGAGGGATTTGAGCCACTGGCTGGCCCCAAAGAAGTGTAAACCTTAAGGACCCGGCTAGGCAAACGTAATCTGGCTCCGCAGAGTCACAGGGGATTGGCCGAATGCCGGCCCTGGGTCTTTTTAGTAACCCCTTACCCTTGATTCATCCTAGCAATAAGGAAATCCGACAAAAAGATAAAGTATGTCCTCTGACCATACATATTTTATGAACTGCCTGCCTCATTCTCTCTCTTCTCCCCTTTATGCTCTCTCCCCTTCCCCCTCTCAACTGAGCGGACAGAGATTGGGATATGCCTAAAACCACACAGCATCTTAACCTTCCTTCCACTCGATCTCAGGTCAGACTCCTGATGAAAAGCTATTCCTTCCTGAGAGAGACTATGCCTGGTATCTTTCGTGCCAAAGGAGGTGAGGCCTTCAGCTGGGGCTACTGTGAACTCAGGTTTCTCAGCTGGTTGAATAAAGCCAGCAGTGGCAGGATCCTCATAAAAGCTCTTACTTCCTAAGCCCACCTTGCCCACTGGGCCCATGTCTGGACCCCCACTGGCCTCTGTGAGCCTTAGACATTAGGCCGCAGGTCCCACTCTGAGAGATGGCACCTTTGTTGCCCAGTGCTTTTGGTGCTTTCCCATTTCCAGGCCTAGCCTGAAGACAGGAAGAATGGGTAGTAGAACTTCTGGGTGCCAAATAAAGCTTCAGCGATAGCAGGTTCTGCCCCACAAAATGGGGCATCTGGAATGGACCTAAGAGAGAGGTATTAGAGAGCAGGTTCAGCTCCTGCCCAGTTTCACCTCCGCCACCCCACCTCCCAATCCAATATCCAATCTCTCACCCATCCCTTCACCTCTGTCCTATGTAGTTCTCCACACCCTAGTCCCAGTCCCCCTCACCTCCGCCCTCTCTCCCTTCCCCCATCACTGATGGATCTTTCTCACTCCTCCCCAGGTGAGGGGGTCCGGGCCCCCAGTTTCTCCAGCTACCTCTATTTCCTCTTCTGCCCCACACTCATCTACAGGGAGACTTACCCCAGGTAAGACCCTGCACCCTCTCCCCAGATGCCCAGGCCCATTAGGGACCTTGCCCGCTTCCTCTCCTTTCCTCAAGGTCCCTACCCTCACCCCAGACACTTTCTCAGGAAGCATCACATCACAGAGATGAGAAAGAAACAACAAGTAGGCTTCGCCTTCTCTTTGCCCCATCCATGGTGACACAACAATGATCAACTGTCCTGGTTTGCTCAGGATTGTCCCTGTTTTAGCACTGAAAACCCTAGGTCCTGCCCTGGCCAGTGTGGCTCAGTTGGTTGGGCATTGTTCCACAAAACAAAAGGTCGCCGGTTCGATTCCCTGTTTGTCAGGGCACATGCCTAAGATGCGAGGTCAGTTCTGGTCAGGGTGTGTGCAAGTGGTACCTGATAGATGTTTCTCTCTTGCATCTATGTTTCTCTCTTCTCTTTCTCCCTTCCTTCCCCCGCTCTCTAAAAATAAATGAATAAAATCCTAAAAAAAGAAAGAAAAAAAGAAAATTCTAGGTCTTGAGAAATCTCTCAATCCAGAGCAAACTCCAGATGGCTGGTCACCTTAGTTGACACCCAAGCTAAAATTCCATTTGCCGTCTCTATTATGGAAGGTGCAAAAAGTGTTCTAGACTCCTACCTCCCCTGAAAATCCTTCCAGGCCTGAGCAATTGAGGGACTATGGAGAGAGAGCTCCAGAACCTGGGTCCTGACCTGAACAGGGAACAAGAAACATATAATCCCCATTTCTCCTGCAGGACACCCAACATCAGGTGGAATTATGTGGCCAAGAACTTTGCCCAGGTCAGAAGATGGGATAGAAGGGTGGACCACTTGTGACTCGTGGTGGCTGAGGGGGGATTTCTGGGAGTGGGGTGGAGAAAGCCTGGGGAGCCAGTCAAAGGAAAGGAGAGGCAGATGGTGGGCTAGAGTCCGATTCCAGGGTGAGGGCACAGCTGCCAGTACCCCTTCTCAAAGTTAGGTGTCCATCACTCCCTCTCCAGGCACTGGGCTGTATCCTCTATGCCTGTTTCATCCTGGGCCGCCTCTGTGTTCCTGTGTTTGCCAACATGAGCCGGGAGCCCTTCAGCACCCGTGCCCTGGTGCTCTCTGTCATGCACGCCACATTGCCAGGTATGCCCACTAAAGCAGGACTGGAGAAGGCTGTGCTGTGGGAAGGTTCGTTGGGAATTTCTCACTATCCTTGATCTTTACCTTCAGTCAGTTTCAACACCTCCCTCTGAATCCCCCTTCATTTCTGTCCCCTCCTGTCACTGCTCATTGTCAGGGTCTCGGCTCCCCCTTTCTACATTAGCCTCCCAGCCTGTGTCCCTGCCACCCGAATCTTTCCTCTCCCATCTGCTCCTGAGGACATTGCTGCCCGAATGAACTTCCCTCCCGCAGATTAATCATTCCTGATCCTGCTTCAAAAGCTCCCCCAACTCCCCGTTGCTGGGATCTCCCGATAGGATTGAACCTTGGCCTGGCATTCCAGGCCTTTGCTGTGCATAACATCCCACCATAAGTCCGGTCATTCACTGAATGGCACGCACTTTTATGCCTCCAGGCCTCTGCTCACACTAGTCTCTCAGCTTGGAATGCCTTTTCACTGCCGTCCAGCTGTGAAATCCAGTTCCTTGTTGGAGACCCATGTGAGAGGCCCTCCTTTAGGAAACCTTCCCTTTCTTAGCCATCATTTATCATGGCCTACCCTGTGCTCTGCATTCCCAAGCTCATCTGTGGCCACCATGCTTAATTCCCAGTACATTTCACCTTGATGTGTGGTTAGACATCTCTCTCCTTCTCTCTCTCTCTCTCTCTCTCTTTCTCTCTCTCACCACTCTGTGAACTCTCAATGGCCAGGGGCTTTGAGAATCATCTCATATCCCCAATATCTGGCATGGAGTTCATGGCAAATGGGTGAATTAATAAATGCATAAATTAGTAAATCACTAATAAATAATGGGTAGGATAGAGGCCCTAGATGCTGGGCAAGGGCTCCGCAGATTTTCCTAGAGGCTCCAGGTAGGCCAGTCTAACCTGCAATCCCTTTTCCTCACTCACCAGGCATCTTCATGCTGCTGCTCATCTTCTTTGCCTTCCTTCACTGCTGGCTCAACGCTTTTGCAGAGATGCTTCGATTTGGAGACAGGATGTTCTACCGGGTGAGGCCTGGACCTGGGCCACTGGGGAGCTAGAGGAAGGGAGAGATAGAAACAGATCTGCGGAGGATGGTGGCTATGTTGGGTGTTGCCTCAGCTGTGCTGTTGATCTCCCACAATGGGAAATGCGTCCTTGTTGGTGTGGTTAAAATGCTACCCCTCCACCTCCCAACCAGTCAGAGCTAACTGCTTTTGTGCAGATGGAGAGGGAGTTTCAGAAAGAGAGGAAGTAGCAGGAAAGGCAGAGACCCCAGGTCCAGAAGAGGGAACTGAGAGAGTGCTTGCTGTCTCTATTTTGCCTGGAGTCAGCTCTTGTGGGAGAACATTGGGATGGGGGCAGGAGGCAGGGTGAGAAGCTGATAAGCTGGGCTGGGGAGAGACAGGGCCCTGATGCTCACCTCCTTTCTCCACTCTGACCCCTCCCCTTCCCCAGGACTGGTGGAACTCCACTTCCTTCTCCAACTACTACCGCACTTGGAACGTGGTGGTCCATGACTGGCTGTACAGCTATGTATATCAAGACGGGCTGTGGGTATGGGCTCTGCAGACCTTCCTCAGCTCCCATAGTTAAAGGAGCCTCTCTGGGACATCTTCTCTTTTCCTCCCTCTGCACCATTCAGGCTAAGGTCCCCTTGACTTCCATTTGCCTCGTTCTATGCAATCCAATGGATAGAAAATTCTTCTTGTGATCTAACTTCCTTTCTTCCTTGTCCCTAAATCCACCCCCTCCACAGGACCTTTCTGCCCTACTAAGGAACATGAATGTATCAATGTTCAGTTACCAAGAGTTGTTACATACATTTAATCTCCACAATAACCCTGTGAAGTGAATATTATTATATCCTCTTTTTAAAATTGCATATAAAGCCCAATAGGCTAATAAAATGCTCTTAAATAAGGCATGTCAGCCTTTCTGACCCCAAATCCCCGTATTCTTTTCATTGCACCACATACTTTCCTCGTTTTCTTATGGAGGGGGCTTTTTATAGCGGGGACCTAAGGAGAGTCACTCCACATTCCTCCCGCTGCCCCTACCAGCTCCTTGGTGGTCAGGCCCGAGGGGCAGCCATGCTGGGCGTGTTCCTGGTCTCTGCAGTCGTCCATGAGTACATCTTCTGCTTTGTCCTGGGCTTCTTCTACCCTGTCATGCTGATACTCTTCCTTGTCATTGGAGGTGAGCTTGGCTTCTGTGTGCCTCTGGAGGGGGATTCATCCGGAGGGAGGAGGCCTGTGCTCCTGCTCCCGGAGAATCTAGACTGATAGAGGAGGCCATACTCCCAAGACAGAAGGGACTTGGGAGCAGGGAGGGAGGCAGCATCAGGTTTCCACGGGGGTGTGGGAGAAGATTTCTGGCTCGCGAGGAGCATCCGAACAGGACATATATGGAGGGAGACAAAGGGGGAAAAAACTTGTGGAGGTTTCGAGATTCAGTATGATCCAGGTTATTGAAGGGTAAACAGGGATCCTGGTTTTCCATGAGTCACCTGAGACCTCCATGGGTTTCTGGAGCTGGGTTCAAGATCTTTCCTAGTGGGACCTCCCTATTTCATCCCTTCCCAGTGCCCTGGGGTGGGAGAGCAGCCAAGGATACAAGGCACAGATATCTGGGGTTGGGGTGACAATCTTTTCTCCTTCTTCAGGACCAATGAACTTCATGATGCATGACCGGCACACAGGTCCAGCGTGGAATGTGCTAATGTGGACCATGCTCTTTCTGGGTCAGGGCATCCAGGTCAGCCTGTACTGCCAGGAGTGGTATGCACGGCGGCACTGCCCCCTATCCCAGGTAAGGGACCATGATACCCACACTCAACTCTCTATTCAGGAGTATATGCTTCCCCTTCCCAACAGCTAGCCCCCTATTTTTGCCCAGTTCAACAGCTAGGACCAGGGGCCAGGGCCTGGTTTGGGGGTGATGGGCTCCCATGTCTTGAGTGCACAGAATGGGCACCGGGAGGGACCTCATTCACAACTCACCTTTCTCTGGCACAGACAACCTTCTGGGGGCTGGTGACACCTCGATCTTGGTCCTGCCATACTTAGAGTTCTGGGCACCCTCACTGTCCTGATGATACCACCAAGTTCTTCTCTGCCTGCCAAACCTGGGACCAGGGCTCATCTCTCTGCACTCCAAGACCTAGCTCTGAGGCAAGGGCACCCAGCATGCATGACCCTGCCAGAGAACTCCAAGACTGAGATCTGTGGGCCTGTAGGCAGCTGAACATAGACCCAGAATGGTGCTGGCTCTTGATCCTCCATCCCCATAGACTGGACACAGGGCCCCCTCCCACTCCATGGCTGTCCGGACTTGAGACTCTTGAAGGACCTCATGTATTTGGTGAATGTGAGGGGATTTAGAGAAACCTGGGACCACCAAGGTCTGAGAAGGGTTTGGGGGTTTTTTTGTTTTTGTTTTTGTACTTCCAATACAATAATAAACTCTGTGATTCTTTTTATTCATTCGTTATTTATTCATTCATCATTTGCTGAAGGCCCACTTTTGACAGGCATTATTAGAGAGTTGTGTCTGCAGGGCAAGACTTTGTGGCAGAAGGAGCTGAGAGTCTTGGGTGACGTCCTGCCTTACCTTCTCTCTGACATTCCTCTCTCCCCAAAGCCTGGCCTCGCCCCCTCTTCCACCTTGATTCCTCTTCAGCTCACATTTCCACACCCCTTTAATCCTTCTGCTCATGGCAACCTCTAGTGCATTTTGAGAGGGCACATAGCAGGTCTTTCCTTCAGCAGACTCAGGAGAGGAACCTCCTGTACAGACCTTAGGCAAATTTTTCAGCCTTGTGAGCCTTGGCTTCCACAGCTATGAAGTGGACATTAAATTTAGGAGCGTCTTAACTGTATGAGGACAGCAGGTCAAAATATTCATATTCAGAGCCATTCCGGAACTCAGACTGTGTGGTCACTCTAAGGAGGGGGTATCTCTGTCTTTGCTACACAGATCTCTTGCCTAGCCTGGAGGTGGGGAGAATCTGCATTAGGAAAGGGGCAACGTCAGTGGCTCCAGGGCACTGAGGACCAAACAAACCGAGATGCCCGAGGAGGGGAGCACTTCTGAAAACATTTGTGTCTATAGAATATCTTTTCATGTCAATAATATAGATATATTTTATCATTTTTAATTACTGCATGGCATTACATGGCATGTGTATACTATAATTTATTTAACTAATTACATATATTTCAATTGTTTCTGATATTTTGCTCTTTAAAACAATTCTATGATGAACTTTCTTGTGTATATATACATCTGGTGCATTTTTCTAGGGAAATGTTCCAGAGGCAAAATTACTGGAACATTGGGTGGGCTTATTCAAATTTTTATACACATTGCCCAACTTCCCTCTAGAATGTTTACACGAATTTACAGTGCATGATATTGCCTGCCTATTTCCCACCCCCTTGCCAATATGGGGTTTTGTCAACTTATTTATTTTTACCAATCTGATAAGCAGAAAATTATTTCTATCATTTTTATTTTGCATTATGCTTACTACTTTAAAAAATTGAATATATTTTCCTATGTGTACCAACATTTTTATTTAATATTTTATTTTTGATAGACTTTTTTTTTAGAGCAGAATTTAAGTTTATAGCAAAATTGAGCAAAGATGGAGATTTCCCATACATTCCCTGCCTCCACACCTATCTTCCCTGCCCCATTCCCACCATTCCCCACCAGAGTGGTATACTCGTTACAACTGATGAACCTACTTTGACACGACCTTATCACCCAGAGTCCATTACTGACATAAGGGTACACTCTTTTTTATTGCACATTCAATTGATGTTAAGAAATTAATTTATTTCTATTTTTAATTTTTTCCAGCCTTATTGAGACTTTATTGAGGTATAACATAAATTTAAGGTATAAAAATGTATGATTTGATTACCACAATAAGGTTAGTTAACACCTCTATCACCTCACGTAATGACCTTTTCTTTGTATTTATGATGATAACATTTATGATCTTTTGTCTTAACAACTTTCAAGTATGTGCAAGTATGTCTTAACAAGTTTCAAGTAATTGATTACAGTATTGTTAGTTATTGTCAGCATGCTGTACACTACATCCCATAATTTTTTCATCTTGTAACTAGGAGTTTGTACTCTTTGACCTTCCCCTTGTTTCCTCCACCCTCTGCCCCAGGCAACCACATTCTACTCTTTATTTCTATGAGTTTGGCCTTTTTCTTTTTTCTTTATTTAATTTAATTTAATTTTTTTAATTTATAAATCATGTTTATTCTATTACAGTTGTCTCAGTTTTTACCCCTTTACCCCCCTCCACCCGTCCCACCCCCACCCCCCACTCCCAGTTGATTCCCACTCTGTTGTCCATGTCCATGAGTCATTCATACATGTTCTTTGTCTAGTCCCTTCCCCTTCCTTCCACAACTGTCCTCTTTCCCCATCCCCTCTGGTCACTTTCAGTTTGCTCCATGTCTCCGTGCCTGTGGTTTATTTTGTTCATTAGTTTATTTTGTTGAATAGAGTCCACTTATAGGTGAGATCATATGGTATTTGTCTTTTATCGACTGGCTTATTTCACTTAGCTTAATATTCTCCAGTTCCATCCATGTTGTCGCAAAAGGTAGGAGTTCCATCTCTCTTTCTTTCTTTCTTAAATGCAGATTGATTTTATTTATTTTTTTAAATGTCAAAGTTAATTATAAAATATTTAAAAAATTTAAAACCATTATAAAGTCTCAGCAATTCCTCCTTTCCCTTCGAGTGGGACACATTTCTTTGTCTTCCCATTATTTGTGAGACTCTTCTCTTTTGCTTCTGATTCTTAAATTGATCTGTCTTGATTTCCTGACTTTGTGGTGTGAACTTCTATGGTTGGAGACCGCTGTTTTTACTTTCTGAATCTGCCTCTGATGATGTCAGATGTCGTCCCTGTCTGACCTTAGGCAGTCTGTTTGAAACTTCCAGTAATCTACTGTTTGTGGCTTTCTCCTTCAGCTGTTAATCTATTTACTCTGTACTTAGAAGGGTGCCTTAGACAGCTCAGGGCAGGACAGAGTCCCTCCTCGGGGCAAGGTTATTGGGTCCTTTCTATCTGCAGCTGTATGGGGGAGGAGTCAGCACTGGGATCCCGCCAGCTACTCTCTCTCTTCTCTTCCCAAAGCCTCCATCCCCAGTCTCTCCTCAAGGGTCTCCAGACCTCTGTGCACCCCCTTTAGCGAGCGATCTATCTGTGCCTGCCACTCTGCACTCAGCAGGCAGCTTAGTCAGCACACGGCAGGGTTGAATCCCACCTGGGGGTGGGGCTATTGGGTCCTTTGACACTGGTGCCACTCAGGGGGAGTAGTCTCTCCCTGACCAAGTTGGCTGCTGCCCAGTGGGGGATGAGTCAGCACCGACATCCTGCCAGCTACTCTCTCAGTTCTCTCCTCAAAGCCTCCTTCCCCAGTGTCTCCTCAGGTGTCTCTAGCCCACTCTGCCTTGCCTTTGCCGGAGACCAGGGTAAGTGGCTGCAAATAAAAATTTATGCATTGGCCCTTTAAACGGTTCTTTGCGTCTCCAGCCACCCTTCTCTGGCAGAGAGCAATGCTGCTGCTTTTCGCAGATGGCTGTTTTCTGTGTATTTTTTGGGCTCTGGTGGTGCGGGCTAGAGATCCACACTTTTGGCTTAGATCCCGTTCTTCTCGGGGGATCCAACTGGCCTTTTCAGTATCCTTCTGATGCTGTCCCCCTTGGGCGCCCTGCCCACCTTCTCAAGTCTCTACTGCACTCCTTACCGATTAGATTGTGCTAAAGCCGATTCTTCTGTCTCTGAAGTTACAAGGCTCCTCTCTCGCTATTGTTCATTTGTCTGTTCCAGGTGATTTCTCCACAATTTAGTTGTAATTCCAGGTTGGTCCTGGGAGGAGGTTAGTGTGACTTCCACTCACTCCTCCGCCATCTTGATTCTCCTCGAGTTTGGCCTTTTTAGATTGTGAATATGAGGAAGATCATACAGTGTTTGTCTTTCTGTGTCTGATTTATTTCACTTAACATAATGCCCTCAAGGGGCTGTGGGCAAATTTATAACATATATACACCATTATAATAAACAGAGTAGTTCCATTGCTCTAAAAAATCCTCTGTGCTCTGCTGAATGTTTTATTTTTTATTTTGTTTATTTGCGTGTTTATTTTGACTGGCTATCCAAACTTTACACATTTTTAATTTTTATTTTCTTTTAAATAAGCTTTTTATTTCAAGATATAATAGATTCACATGCAGTTGTAAGAAATAATACAGAGAAATTCTGTGGGCCCTTTATGTACTTCCTTCCATAGTAACAACATGCAAAACTGTACACATTTGTATGCAATATCACAATTTAGTCAATATTCAGAACATTTCCACCACAGCAGGATAACTTCATGTTGCTCTTTTAAGCCACACCTACCCAACTCTCTCCCACCTCACCTCTTCCTTAGGCCTTGTGAACCCCTAATCTGTTCTCCATTTCTATAGTTTTACCATTTCCCAAGCTTTATTTTTTAAACATAATCATATCCTTAAAATGTAACAAGTTCTTTATCTCATCAAATAAGCAGTGTCCAAATTTTCAATTCTCTCTCTCTCTTTTTTTTTTTGTTTGCTTGTTTGAATCAGAATCCAAATAAGCTCTATACTTTGCAATTAGGTACATTTCTTCTCATCTGCAGGTCCTTACTCCATCTTTTAGTTTCACTTTTTTTTACACACAGTAAAATGTGCAGATCTTAACTGTTTCATTTAATGAACTTCGTATATTCCCGCATAATCCTCAAAACTTCCCGTGCCCCCAGAAAGTTCTCTTACATTCATGTCTAGTCAACTCCTCAATAAGAGGCAATCACTTTCTGATTTCTACTCTCCTATAGTAGTTTTGTTTGTTTTACAACTTCATAAAAATAGAACTCTACACTATGTACTCCTTTATGAATGGCTTGTTTCACTGAATATGTTCTTAAGATTAATCCATGTGTTGCATGTATCAATTATTTGTACCTTCTGTTGCTCAGTAGTATCCCACTTCTGAAAATTCCTTAGTTGTTTATTCATTGGCCTGGTGATGGATATTTGGATTACTTCCCATTTTGGGTTATTACCAATAAGGCTGCTATTAAGATTCATGCACAAATTGTTTTATGCATACATTTTTTCATTTCTTTTGGGTAAATACCAAGAAGCGTGGTCATAGAGATAATGTATGCTTCAATATATAAGAAGCTGCAAAACTTTTTTTCTAATATGGTTTTACCATTTTACACTCCAACCAGCAATGTATGAGAATTCTAGTTGGACCCACAGGACTCCTCGCCAAGGTTTTTATCTTGCTAGTCTATTTTTATTTTAGTCATTTTAGTGGAGTGTGATTTTAATTTGCACTTCCCTG